GGCCAACTTATTCAGATGAACTTGTTTTAGTGTTCAAGCTTCCAGACCATAAAGAAGAGTAGAGAACACGTAACATCGAAGCATTCTCAGGCGTAGTTCTAACCTTATATCCCGACAACAAAGAAACTTTTTAAGTTTAATAAATGATGTACGTGCTATTTCAATACGTGTCTTAATTTCTTTGGTTTGGTCTACATCTGATGTTATCCATGTTCCTAAATATTTATAGTTATTAACCTTCTCAATTGCAGTATCTTCAATAGTCAATTGGATATTTGCATGTGCAGATTTAGTCATGATCATGCAATTAGTTTTCTTTAAATTTATCTTCAGTCCGTACTCATGACAGCGTTCATTAAGGCGTTGCATTAGGTTCTGTAAATCATTGTTGTTATCCGTAATTATTACTGTATCGTCTGCAAAACGTAAGTTATTCAAAACTTTTCCATTGATAGATATACCTTCTATTGAGTCTGAGAGCGCTTCTTGAAATACCGCTTCACTGTAGACATTGAAAAGTAGTGGGGACAGCACGCAACCCTGGCGGACTCCTCTCTGTATTTTGATATTTTCGGTGTACTGGCTGTCAACTCTTACCTTGGCAGTTTGATTCTAATATAAATTAGATATAATTTTCAGATCACGACTGTCAATATTTTTGCTTTTTAATATATCTACAAGCTTTTTATGTTGAACTTTATCAAATGCCTTTTCAGCCATTTCTAGCGATGCAAAATATTTGAAAATACTTTTTCGGTGTTTTAACATAACGACATGAAACAGAAATACATTGAAAATATTCTTCTGTGTTTTAACATATACAAGGTGGTTTGAAATACTACAGTATTTAGAACTAGGATTATTTTTGTTATGTATCTCCACGTCTAGTAGTGTTGTTTGTCTCTTTAGTTTATTAAGTAATTCTAGATCTGGTCTGTTATGTGTTAGTGTTTGGTCTCTGAGCACATTGCAATCCCAGATAGTTTGTAGTTGTCATTCTTGAGCATATTCTCAGGAACGTATTGGCAATATGGGATATGGTTTGTTTAGAGTAGCCGTAATTTGAAAGCTTTCTTTTGATGATGAATCTTCACTACTGAATCCAGCCGTTTCTTATATTTAGTTGCAGCAAATGCCTGGTAGCCCTCGGTAAGATGTTGGATGATTTCTGAGGTTTGACATTCATATCGGCAGTGGTCGTTTTGGACCTGAGGATATTTGACGATATATTTAAGTAATTTTTGGTTGGTATAAACTGATTCTGAATGACAAGTAATAAAGTTTCTGTTTCAAAGAACTATGTCGACACTATGTTGTCGACATAGTCTTGATTGAGATGATTGGGATTTGTTGCCCGTACAAAGTTTTACCCATCTAGATGCGCATTTTTTCGTTCTTAGTTAGATGGTTTATGTGCAGTTATGGTGCCCTCAGTTTGATCAGTGTTGTGTGATCTACTGCGCAAATCGCGCGATGCAGTGCCTTAGTGTGGTGTATTCATACTTTTCGCAGAGTTTCTATATTCGTATTAGTCCACTTAATAATACCAAATGAATACCTAAGCGCAGGAAATGCGTAGGTGTTTAGTTTCGTAAACAAATTTTTACTATTAAAATGTGAACGGAGCAGCTGTTTTATCCTTTATATGATTTCTGGATCCTCAAGATAACATAGACAGACAAAGTCATCAATGAAGAAGTACTGCGAAGGATGAACACATCTGCGTATTTTGTCAACATCGTGAAGGGCCGCCAGCTGCAGTACTTGGGACATATAATGAGAAATATAGACAGATATGAGTTACTTCAATGCATTATGCAAGGTAAAATTGGAGGAAAAATGGCCCTGGCTTGCTAAATTGAGAGCCTGGTATAGAAAGACCTCAACACAGCTATTTCGTAAAGCAACCAATAAAGTCATCATAGTCAGATTGATCGCCAACTTTCGGAACGGACAGGCACTCGAAGAAGAAAAATGATTTCTAAAGTTAATTCAATTTTCATTTGTTCATTTGTTTATGGTCAATATTCCTGCCCGTTTTACTCCTAGATATTTTTACATGTCATTTTCAGCTATAGACTCTATATTTTGGCCATTTTACATATCGAATCCTCCGGGCTAAACATTTCCTCTGACTATATTTAAAATACGGCACTTGTCTAGCAAAAAAAGCATACTAATATCATTAAAAAATGTTTCTACAGTTTTTAGCATTTGATCTACAGTATTGTTGTTTATATAGTCCGTCTAGAAAGTATCCGGAAAAAAGAAAGCAGAGTTATAATTTTACGGTATTTATTTCAATCATTTGAAATATAAAATTTCAACAAATAATTCATCCCATTTACTTATATAACCTCCATTTAAATATAAACACTTAACTGAACCTCCTGGTACACCCGAAACTAGGTCAAGGCCATAATTTTCGGTAATGGTGTTACAGGCCTGTAAAACCGACCGAATCAAACCTTCTTTATCTCGTGGCGCTGCTCGTCCCACTTAATTTTCATCAGTACCCATATGTTTTCAATGGATCTGGAGAAGCTGCTGGCCACGGAATTGTTCCCACTTCGTGTTCTTGCATCCAAGCTTGAATATAACCAGAAGTATGACATCTTGCATGATCTTGCTGAAAACGCCACCACTCTAGATAGAAAACATGAACCGTTTTAAAAAGAAAACCATTTAGGATGTCACAATATTTCGCACTATCAACAGTACCATAACTATATAAAATGGTGTAGCACCACACTGATACATTGTTCCCGAAACCATTATTTCAGTGGGAAATTTGGAAATTTGAACGGTAACATTTTCTCTTGATAGGACTTTTAAATGATTTGCACCAAGCTGGAAACAACTTGCATCAGATATAAAGACTATAAGATTATTAAAATTATCTTCCCGAAAACGTTGACAAAAATATATTCTTCGTTGTCTTTGCAGAGGTGTCATTGTGGTGAGTTTTTTTGGATTAAAGCCACTAAAGCATTTAAATTGTTTACGTGAATCTTACGCGGTTTACCTGAAACTGGTCTGTCTCATATCTATCCCATTTTTTATCCTTTTTATTGTCTCATACACTGCACTTTTTCCGAGTTCAGTCAACTGCACTAATTTTTTAACGTTTCGGACACCCTTTCTATACAAATATTCCACCACTTTTCTTTTTTCTACTTGCGACATTATTTCACAAACCTTAAGTCTGTTTACAAACAACAATATTTGACAGATGGTGTTGTCATGCGATTTTGTCCATAACCTACTATCGGCACAACCTACTTGATGCATTACTTTTGTCTTAGAATGTTATAAAAAGGAAATCTATTAAAATTAGGAAAAATATAAAATTCCGGATACTTTCTAGACGGACTATATATATATATATATATATATATATATATATATATATATATTTATATATATATATATATATATATATATATATATATATATATATAAAAAAGGCAAAACTGACCAACAAGGGCATTAACATAAACAGAGAAAAGCTTAGCCTTTTAAGGTTTGCAGATGATATTGTACTAATAGCTGATAGGATAGATGAGGCCAAAGAACTTTTAAATCAGCTCTACCTTTCCTCGCTAGAAGGGGGATTGAAAATAAATATATCTAAAACTCAGATGATGACAAATCTTGTAGTCAGCGAAGATATATGCGTAGGAACAAGATCCATAGACCAGGTAATGGCCTATAAATACCTAGGTCATGAGATCCGCATAGGAAAAGATAACCAAACCGTTGAGCTTCTCCGTCGTATAAGACTGACTTGGGAAGCCTTCGGCAAGCTGAACCATATTTTCAAATCGTCTGATATACCAATATATCTTAAAAGAAAAACCTTTAATCAGTGCGTTTTGCCAGTGTTGACTTACGGTGCGGAAACGTTGACCATGACAAGGAGAATAGTTCAAAATATCCGTGTGTGTTAAAGGGCGATGGAGCACGCTATGTTGGGCGTTTCACTACGAGACAAGATCCCAAATCGCCAGCTACGACAAAGAACAGGAGTGGCTGATACAGTATAGAGAGTAGCAAGACTGAAATGGAACTGGGCAGGTCACGTGGCTCGAATGACAGATAATAGATGGACAAAGCGGATACTGGATTGGAGACCAAGAGATGATGCCTACCGAAGCAGAGATCGTCCACCAACACGTTGGACTGACGATCTAAAACGTTGTCATAGGAATTAGATGCAAGAAGCACAAGATCGAAATAGATGGAAAATTATGAGGGAGATCTATGTCCAGCAGTGGATAAGCGAAGATTGAATGATGATGATGATTGTTGTTTTTAATGCTAAAACTTGAGTCAGTGGAGTTCAATAGCTGGGATAGTGGGTTCATCGCTAGACATATTGAGAAATTATTGATATATTTTATAATTACTGTAATTAATATTATTAATTCTGATTATGTTTTCTCAGTCAAGTTGGAGTCATGTAAATTAGGTATATGGCATGTATGTGATTTGAGTAAGAGATATTACGTATCACTTAGATTCTTATTATCACCTTTTACATTGATAGAAAAATCATTTAGCAAAATGTAAGAAATTTCAAGAAATTTTATTTTAAATTTGTTGTTCACATGCTGAAGAACGGTGATTTTATCAAAGTTCATGGATGTGACCTGTGGAATGGACGTGCTTAGCTAATACACAATGGTCTGGATAAATGAGTAGTTGAAATGCTTGGCCAATGTATGAATTGTAACATGAAGAACAGAAAATATTCTAGACAATGTTATTAAGTCTATGTTTTTTATTTTATTCTTAATTTTAAAAAAAAGTTAATTGTTGAAGCTAACTTGTAAGGTCACATTGATTTTAAAACAATTATCATTATTACTATTGATATTTTCTAAATTATTCAGTATCCTAGTCAACCCCGGAGTAATATTATTAATATAAGGTATTAATTTGTATATATTATACAATTTGAAACTAAAATTTTACAAATATTTATACTTATTTTTCAGATCCCAGAACTAACTCATGGTTCCTTATAAAAGATCCTGGTCCTGGCTTAGCTATTATAATCAGCTGGATGTATTTTGTTCTTAATATCGGTCCGAAAATGATGAAGGATAGGGAGCCATTTAACCTACGAAAAACTATTATAGTATATAATTTAGTGCAAGTTATTATAAGCTCATATCTATTTATAAGGGTAAGTTAAAACCACAAACATATTTTTTCCATATTTAACCAATGATTTGCTGATTTGTTGCCTTAAATATTCATATCAATGTCAGCTAAGAGTGAGGTTATTTTTTTTATATGCATATGCTTATATAATTTTCTCTTTTTTACTATATTTTTTTGATTTTGTCTTAACTTAGCTGTTTTATATCTTTCTTTGTTTGATTTTTTTTCTTCCGGTTAATATTTTTCTTATTTTTCTTTTTTGAACCTGTTTCGAGCCACTTCTGTGTATAGACAATCTTTAAATTTTTCACTTTTGTATGGTCTCCAATAGTTGGTGTATGGCGTTTCCTAGACAATCAATAATTATACTCCGCAATATTGTGAATTATGCAATATAATTATTTATCTCGGGCTAATATTGTAGATTGCGCAATCATTGAACGAAAGTTGAACGAGCTTAATTTTTATTATGCCATACTTCTTCATTGCATCTAAAACATTTAGCAGTATTTTGCTTCTTCTTCTTTTTTATAAGCAATTCTGCTTGTTCATTGGCGGATTAATACCTCTATGGAAGGTTGTCACTCCGTCTTTTGCGTGGTCGTCCGAAACTCATTCTGCTGACTGGTGACTTATCTCTTGCTATTTTGACGACACAGGTCTCCTCCATTCTGCTTATGTAATTATTCCATTCCTTTTTTCTATTTTGTGCCCATTCATGTATACACTGTACTTTTTCTTCTGATGTCTTCACTTCTCTTTCGATCTCTCAGCGTATGTCCTGTAATTCTTCTCAGTACTCTCATCTCTGCCGTTTCCAGTAGCCTTTGCGTTGTGGCTGTATCAGGTCTTGTTTCTGAGGTATTGGTCTTTTATTGGTCTTACACTGGCTTTATAAATTCTGCTACGCCATATAGTGTTATTAAGGCATCCTGCCAGTCTATTTTCTTATTGATATAAGGTTGAATGCTTGAATAAATGAACTTTGATAATATACAAGGCAAATATCGAGCACAGTATTAATTTAATCTTGCCCAAGTACTTTCGATCACTAGATCGTCTTCAGGGGCATTTCGTCAATTGTGGTCTATCCGACAAAAGTAGAATCTCATAAATATAAAATGGGACATCACAATACACTACACAAAGACAAACAAATACTTTAAATTTTTTTTGAAGATAGGCGAAGCTACATGGTGTATAGAAGCTGTCTCCGGCTTTCTTTTTATTACAATCTGGTGTAAACAAAAATTTCCTGACTTATGGAGACAAGCTATTGTCATCCCTATACTAAAACCTAGCAAACCCGCTACAGCGGCAGAATCATATAGGCCAATATCACGTACATGTTCTACTTGCAAACTGCTAGAGAAAATAATAAATAATAGACTTATGTGGCATTTGGAACATCACAATTTACTTATACCGGAACAAGCTGGATTTTGTCCTTTGAGATCTACTATAGACAATGTTTTAGATTTAGAAAGTCAAATCAATGAAGCCTTCTGTAACATACAGAAATGCATAGCTGTTTACTTTGACATCCACAAATAATTTGACTTAGCATGGCGACACAGAATATTAACAAACTTGCAGACTTGGGGAATTCAAGGAAACATGTTGGCATTTTTGAATAACTTTCTAAATGAACGCAAATGTTCAGTACGTAGTAATGGAACTTTCTAGTATCAAGTATCAAGACAATGGAACACCACAAGGATCAGTAATTAGCCCTACACACTATTTTTAATAGCAATGAATGATGTTATAAAAAATTTCAAGAGACCTGCACAGGCTAGATTATATGCTCATGATATGATAATGTTTATCAAAGGAAAAAATATCGATGGTCAAAATTTTACAAGAAGAACTATATAAAATCGAAAGTTGGTCTAATAGGAGTGGATTTTATTTTCAGCTGACAAGACACAATATATTATTTTTTCCAAAAAGCCTATTCACACTAACATATCTGCCTTAAAATTCGGCACAAAGTTTTTAAAACGAAGTACAAAGATAAAATATTTAGGTTGGAAACCACATATTAAACAATTGGCGATATCATGTCTAAATGGTATAAATCTTCTTAAATGTTTAGCCAACAAACAATGGGGTGCTGACGGAGATACATTATTACTGTTGCATAGAAGCATAATCCGATCAAAATTGCATATTTTTCAGCGTCGAAGTCAAATTTAAAAATCCTTTTTTTTTGTGTGTGTTTTGGCTTGGACAATTGTCATTCAGCCAGTCTCAATCAAGATAAGTTTATTAATGTAGTGTGTGTGTGTGTGTGTGTGTGTGTGTGTGTGTGTGTGTGTGTGTGTGTGTGTGTGTGTGTGTGTGTGTGTGTTTGTGTGTGTAGAGTAATTGTCTTGATACTTAGCAAAGTCGACGTCATTGTCTTTGCTAAGAGACGCTAATTGTATCCGAACGTCTGCGGTCCCTCCGGTAAGTACCGATCACACAAGGATAGAAATTATTTTCATTTATTAATTTTTTTAATAAACGAAAATTTCCACCCAAGTGAGATTCAAACTCATGACCTTTAGGTTTAAAGGCAGGCTCTCTTAGCACTGAGCCACAGAGGGGGTTTTAAAAATCCTTGACGTTATACACAACAATGCATTACGCATAATCTCTGGAGCTTATAGAACAACTTCTGTTGCAAGCCTCGAGTGGAAACTTGGAGAGCCATCATTACATGAACGACGGAAATTACTTAGTCTATCTTACGTTTCAAAACAAACATCACTACAACCTGACAACCATTTTCTTACTAAGTCATCGTTATCAAATATCAATATAAGAACACATTTACCATTTCAATTAAGGATCAAAAACATTTTAAACTCTATTGAAATTTTTAACTTGCCCTCAACACATTCAGCAAACGTAAACACGCCACCTCCCTGGTTAATACCTTTGCCTACTTTAAATTTAGAACTATCATCATATCATAAATCTTAAACTAATCCACAAATATTTATAAGCAATTATAATAGAATACTTTCTTCTTTCCCTGAATATACCCAAGTTTACACAGATGCATCTAAAACAACTTCTGGTGTAGGATTATCATTTGTTATAAGAGACATAATAAAAAGTTTCAAATTACCCACAGAAGCCAATGTGATAACTGGAGAATTGTATGCAATATACAGAGCTCTAATTCAGTCAAACCAGATAAATTCCTTATTATAACTGACTCAATCAATTCCCTTTATATACTGTCAAAAATGTACAATTGCAACCCGCTAGCTAAATTAATCAAAAACAAGATGCAGCAACTGGAAAACAAAACATTAGTCTTCGTGTGGGAACCATCACATATAGGCATTAAAGGGAACGAGCTAGCTGATAAAAATGCTCGAGAAATAGCAAATTCCCCAAATATCAGACCGATAATAAAACCATTATCAGAAGATCTCAATCCGTACTTTTAACAAAAGCTGATATGTAATTGGACTAAATGTTGGGAAGAAAAATCCTCAGAGTTAAAAGAAATTAAACCAAATTTTGGAAGATGGACTAACAACTCCCCTAGCCGTTTCCTTCAGGTTGTATTAACCAGGCTCCGATTAGGACACAGCAAACTCACACACAAATATCTCATGAAGAAGAAACCTCAACCAAAATGTACGAGTTGTGACGTGCCGTTAACAGTGAAACACGTATTAACGGAGTGTCCCAAATATAGTGCTGAAAGACTAACTAATAAAATTCCATCAGTTATAAGGGAATAAAACAGAAAAACAGATAATGGAAAAATGCTGGGAGTCTGATCGTGAGCTTCATCAGATGTTCATAGATTTTAAACAAGCATTTGATAGAGTATGTAGGGACAGACTGTGGACAGCGATGCAGGAACTTATCTTTCCAAAAAAACTAGTCCGGTTGATACGGATGTGTATGGAATGGTTACGATGTAAGGTGAGAGTTGGACAACTATACTCGAAGACATTTAAAATAAACAATGGACTAAAACAGTTAGATGCACTTTCACCACAACTCTTCAACTTAGCTCAGGAGCACATAATCAGAAGTGCAAGAATCGAAAAACCGAATACAGTATTTCATCGAGAAGGGCCAAACTTACTACTGGCATTTGCAGACGATATAGATCTAATAGGAAACACACGATTAAGGATGAAGGAGACTTTCGTAAGGTTTGAGAAGGAAGCAGAGAAAATGGGGCTCCAAATCAACGAAAACAAGACGAAATATATGTATATGAGCCGCAATAACCAAAGCAGAGACAGAATCGGTCAGAACATTACCATCGATGACTTTAACTTTGAGCGCGTTAGAGAATTCAAGTATCTTGGAACAACAATAACTAAAGACAATAACGGATCACAAGAAATAAACAACAGGATTCAGGCCGGCAACAGATGTATTTTTGCCCTCCAAAACCTTATAAAATCAAAACAACTAACACGACGTACGAAGATACAGGTCTATAAAACAATCATACGACCCGTTGTGATGTATGGAAGCGAAACGTGGACGATAACAAAGGCAAATGAAGAGAGACTACGTGTTTGGGAAAGAAAAGTCCTAAAGAAGATCTTTGGTCCGGTGCATGATGAAGCATCAGGACAATATATGATAAGAACTAATAAAGAGCTTGAAGAACTTTACCCAGACGCCAACATCATAAAAGAAATAAAGTCCAGAAGACTCCAATGGGCAGGACACCTCAGAAGACATTCTGACGAACGAACAGTAAGACTGGTGTGGGAGGAAGTCCCAACTGGAAGGAGACCACGCGGACGCCCTCGTCTCCGGTGGCGAGATAATATAGCAGGAGACCTAAGCACTATGGGCGTGGAGAATTGGATGGAGGTTGCTCAAGACAGAAAACAGTGGAGGCATGTTGTCGAGTCGGCTAAAACCCACGAAGGGTTGTAACGCCACGGAGTAAGTAAGTAAGTAAGTTATAAGGGACATCTTTAGTGAGTGTACCAGTGAAAATATTGTGAAATTTTTAAAAACATTAATATTCTTAACAAAATATAATATTTATTTATAAGTTACTGAACTCATGTTTATGTTTATATGTCGCTAATAATCCCAGAGGTTGATGCGACCATGTTTGTAAATAAAAAAAAATTAACTATCTCCATAAGACGCAATATTTTGACGCAATTATATGGACTAAATTGTAATTTTAACAAAACATGTTTAATTTTAGTATTCATACATATTACTTAACAACTGTGAACAAGTCATCATCTTTATTCTTTTTATCCCTATGCGGGATCGGCCTTCCTAAGTACAAATCTCCACTAAAACCACTCTGTATAGTATATTCCACCACTTTGTATAAGATAGAATAAATTTCATATTTAAAGTATTGTTTATAGAGTAAAAAATTTAAATTTTTTAGGCAGGTGTTATAGGTTGGTTTGGTAAATACAGCTTGAGATGTCAGCCAATTGATTTTTCTGATGCACCTGAAGCGCAGGAGGTAAGTATTAAAGTATATTATTATTTATGTTACAAGTAAGTAAAACTCCGAAATTTTATAAAACTAGTTTGGATATTTCGGTTACTTTGCATGTTATCCAAAATGGCTTAATAAAATGCAAAGAACAATTCCCTTAACTCCATGATTATTACAATGTAATCTTGCTGCTGCTATAAATGTGGAGAGCTCTTTATCAATGTATTCAACAGTAACACCAAAGGCTTTTGCCATGTATTGTAAACTAGAAGACCTGTATGACTCCAACAATTGTATATAAGCAAGTATTTTCATCTCTCTTACATAAAAACGATAGTGAGAATTTAAGAAATAATCTTTTCTCAGCACTGTTTCAACTTCTGCAAGATTTGTAAAACATTCGGCATACTGACAATTATATAAAGAAAACAAATAATCTTTTACAGATGGTTCAGAATACAATACTTCCAATATTTCTAAACCTTTTACCACTTTATCTCTTAAATGGTTTCCTATAAGCTTGGCTGGTTCATATTAAAGACGTCAAGCAGAGAAGAAAGCGTTATGTTTCAGCGGATTTTTTTTTTATTTACTAATAATAGTCGCTTCAACCACCTGGGTCATTAGCGACATTAGTTTACATTAGTTAGGTACATTATATTAAATTATATAAAGATGTTTCTTTTAGAAATCTAATTAAGTTTTTAGTATTTAAATATTCACCTAATACTGTTTTTAATTCACTGGAAATATTGTTATTTTGTCTGTTAACTGTATATTTTCCACATTCTGTTAGAAGATGTTTAACAGTAATATTGACTTGACAGTAATCACACACTGGAATGTCTTCTTTACTTATTAGGTGCTTATGAGTAATATTGGTATGACCTAATCGAAGTCGAGAAATTTTGACTTGGTCAGCTCTTTTTAAGTTCACTAGGCGCCACGGTTTCACTGTCGATTTAATTTCTTTTAATTTAGATTCCGATAAGTTCCACTTATTTTGCCACGCACTAATCACTTTTTCTTTAACGAACTGTTTTATATCACTGCAGATAGTCTTTGACACTATTATAGCTTGATCATTTTTGGTAGCTTCTCTTGCTTGGAGGTCTGCGTTTTCATTACCTTGTATTCCCGTGTGAGATGAAACCCACATAAATTTGACTTCTGAACCAGATTCTTGTAAGGCAGCAAGTTCTTTCTTGACAAGTAAGGCTATAGGGTTCTTAGTATATAGTTGACCGATTGTTGTTAAGGAGTTTAGAGAATCTGTGATAATGACGGAAGAAGAATGGTTTGTACTTTTGATATGAATGAGGGCTTGTAATATTGCATATAATTCTGCTGTGTATATAGAAGTGGCTGGCATTAATTTAAATTGGGAAGAGGAATATGGAGTGACAAATGCTGCTCCTACGTCATTTGCAGATTTCGAGGCATCTGTATAAATGCAAAAGTTTTTCCCGTAAGTCTCGAGTTGCTTTAAACATGACTGTCGGATTACAGTGGGTGATGTATCTGATTTGTTATATTGGAGTAGCGTCGTATTAATTTCGGGAATCGTGATTAACCAGGGAGGTGGAGTTTTTACATTTGAAGGAAAGAGGTCAGAAATTTGGAGTTGTAGATCTTTTAAATTTCTTCGAACTCTTTCGTAGAATGGTGGATCGAACCTACTTGTGTTATAAGCTTCTAGGTAACGGTTCGTAAATGCATTTTGTAATACTGGGTGGAATTTGTTGCTAGAGACTGATGCTGCATACGAAAGGCATAAATAATTTCTTCGTAGATTAAGAGGTGGCTCTCCTGTGAGGCATTGGAGATTCTTAACTGGTGTGGTTCTAAATGCACCTATGGCAATGCGAAGTGCTGTGTTCTGAATGACTTCAAGTTGCTTGGTAACATGTTTTTTAGCGGAGGCATACACAATAGCCCCATAATCTATTTTTGATCTAACGAGTGACTTATAAATATTTAATAACGTGGTTTCGTCGGATCCCCATTTTCTGGCACTGGCGTTTTCGAGGTACTTTAAAATGCCATGTCGTCGCCGAGTACGCCAAACGGCTATCTGCTAAACTAGACCTCCACCATTTTTAGTCCATAAAATTTTTAAATAACATTGTCGGAATAGGGTTTGGGGTGGACGGGTGGTTTAACTTAAAAAACCCCCCCTGGTTGTGCCACTGTTCTCCAGTGTTAAAGTTAAACAAAGTTAAAGCCTGCTTTAACCCTTGTGAAATTTTGAAAAAGTCTGTTCGGTGGTTTTGTATTCATACACATGCCTGAGTTTAATATATTGTAGCTTTAATGAGTCTAATTAGCTTGTGTGGTATTGTCAACTCAGCCAATATATTGTAGAGTTTGTTCTTTTTGACTGAGTCATATGCCTGTTTGAAATTTACAAACACGTTGTGCATCAATGTCATGTTCCGATGATTTACTCAAGATCTTCTTCTTCTCATGCCACTCCTAGCGGAGATTGGAAATCATCATGGCCACTGCGACTTTGTTAGCAGCGCGCCTAAAAAGTTGATTCGAACTACACCCGAACCATTCACGTAGATTACGAAGCCACGATATTTTTCTTCTTCCCACACTTCTTTTGCCCTTAATTTTGCCCTGCTTGATGTTTCTTAAAAGTTCGTACTTTTCACCTCTCACAATGTGCCCCAAGTATTCCATCTTTCTAGTTTTTATTTCATTTAGAATTTCACATCTTTTGTCTAAAGTTTGGAGTACTTGCGTGTTAGTGACGCGGTTCATCCATGATATTCTGAGAATGCGCCTATAGCACCATATCTCAAAAGCTTCGATGTTTTTTATGGTCAACTGTTTTAGTGTCCAAACCTCAGCTCCATATAACAGGGTAGAAAAGACATAACACCGCAGCATTCGTATTCGTAACTTTATATTGATCTCACGATTGCAAAAGAGTTTGCGCATTCTATTAAAGATTGATCTAGCGATTTCTGTTTTACATTTAATCTCTTTTGTTTGATCAGTATCGTCTGTGATCCAAGCACCTAGATATTTATAACAGGGCACACGCTCAATCGTTGTATTGTCTATTACAAGATTAGCTCTGATGTTCTTTGATTTCGTGATTACCATAAATCTAGTTTTTTTCAAATTAATTTTCAAGCCGTAACTGTTACAGTATATATTGAGACTTTGAACGAGATGTTGTAGTTCTACTAGCGTTGCCGTTAGGAGAACTGTATCGTCAGCATACCTTATATTGTTGATCGTCTCACCATTTATTATCAGACCAAGATCTTCTTCCTCGAGTGCTTGTTCACAGATAGCTTCACTATACAGATTAAATAAAAGTGGCGATAAGATACATCCCTGCCGGACTCCTTGACGGATTTGAATTTCTTTTGTTAGTCTGCCCTCAACCTTGATATTTGCTGTTTGATTCCAATACAGATTGCATATAATTCGAATATCTCGGCTGTCTATATGTTTCTTTATTAGAACTTGTCTTAGTGGTTCATGTTGTACTTTGTCAAAGGCCTTTTCGAAATCAATAAAGCAGGCGTAAATTTTTTGGTTCATGTCTAAGCATCTCTGTGAGAGAACGTTCATTGCAAACAGAGCCTCCCTTGTACCCAGCCCTTTTCTGAATCCCATCTGAGTGTTATTGATGTCTACGTCTAATTTCCTATAGATCCTATTATGGATTATTTTTAAGAACAGTTTTAGAGCATGACTCATCAAAGCTATCGTACGATATTCGTTGCACTCCTTTGTATTTGCCTTTTTTGGCAGTAGTATAAAGGTCGAATGGAGCCATTTCCTAGGTTTTATTCCAGTTCTATATATTGTGTTAAATAGATCTAGGAGTATTTTAATAGATTCATCGTCCATAAGTTTGAGCAGTTCTACGGGAATTTCATCAGGACCGGGGGCCTTATCACTTTTTGCTTGTTTGATTGCATATTCTATTTCTTCTCTGATTATATCAGGCCCTGTATCATCTGTATATTCGTTTGAGATTTCTTGTCTATCTTTGTCATCAAAAAATTGTGATATGTATTCTGTCTATCGGTTCATTTTTTGTTGTAAATCTGTTATAATTATACCATCTGTATCTTTGATTTGTCCTGTCTGTGTTGTTCTTCTCCTTCCTGTCATTTCTTTAATCTTTTTGTGTACATTAAGAAAGTCATATTTTAGCTCCAATTGTTCCAACTCCTGGCATTGCTCACTTAGCCATCTTTCTCTAGCTTCTCTTATTTTCTTTTTTATCAGTTTATCTGTGTCTTTGTATCTTATCGGATTATTTGTTTTGTGTACCCTTCTTTCACGCATTTTTACCAAACTCAAGATCTGTTTGACTGTAAATATTTGATCCAGTGTCGATCTTTTCCATCGGAAGCTTGTCTGATACCCTCCAATAATATTTTTTGCCAGTGGTTGGAGCCTCTGGTTTAAAATATATGTTGAATTTTTTTTTCTTTCCATATGGCTTTGATAAGTGCGTAGATGTGACTTGCTAGGTGGTCTCCACCTACCTTATACAATTCTGCTAGCATTTCGTCAACTCCCGGGAATTTATTGTTTTCTGAGCTTCGAGAACTTCCTCTATAGTTGGAGCTTCTACTCCTCTCTCCACTTTATTCTCTTCCACGTAGTTCTTATCCATTCATATCCATCTTTTATGTCTACTTGTGAATCAAGTAGGGTCTGAAAATAATGCTTCCAGATTTTTGTGACTTTCTCTTGGTCACTGATGATTTGCCCACTTTCATCTTTACATAGACTTGTTTGAGGTTTATACCCATTTTTTTTTTAGGTATTCGTGCTCCTCTAATTTCAATGTTTTTGAAATTTTCTTCCGCTAAAATAGTGTATTACACTATCATTCTAGTGTAATAGATGATTTTATTGAGTTATAACCAAAACTAATTCTATTTTAAATTACCAAGTTTGTTACTTTTAAATATTTTTTATTTTTAGATGCGCGAATTAATGTATATGTATTTCATAAACAAATTGTTGGAACTCCTCGATACAGTATTCTTCGTACTTAGAAAAAAACAGAACCAAGTGACGTTTCTTCATATGTATCACCATACCGTGATGCCCATGGTATCATGGGGAGGATTAAAGTATGTTCCCGGTGGCCACGGAACCTTGATAGGATTTATAAACTGTTTTGTACATATTGTTATGTACAGTTATTATTCACTAGCAGCCTTTGGACCAAAGATACAGAAATATTTGTGGTGGAAGAAATATATAACTGCAATGCAATTGGTAAGTTAGTTTTCTATTAAGTGCATTTAGCCTTAATTTATTATAAAAGAAAAGATTATCTAGTCTTGTCGTTTGTATTATGCATAAAAGTAAATTAAAAAAAAAGTTTTCGTTGTACCTGATATTTTAAAACGCCAGAACCCAAGGAAAAACGCAATATCAAAAAAATGAACCCCAAAAACAATAACTATTTTAATTTCATACTGAATTCAATATAAAGTATTTAAAACGACTGTTAGCAGAAAAACAATAAAGACTCAACCTATTTTACTAATGCAAAAACTAGTTTGACTCTGTCTTGCTATGAGAACAGTCTAAAGATAATTAAACGTTTTCAGTAAGGTCGAATTTCGTAGTTTCGTTTGTAGATTTACGTCACTAAATTGAGGCAAGTTCATGAAATTTTGACCAATAAATACAAACTTGTCCGTAATGCACGATCAACCTAATAAGTTCTCGGTGTTCTTTATAGATGGTGCTGGTGCAAATTCGATTATTTACGAACTAATTTAAAATAACAATAACTGCCTAGAGGGGTTGAAACAAAAACTTTCCGTTTATTCAGGCCGCCTAAGATACAACGTCAATAATAGAAATTCCTGAGTTTCAGATAGTGCTTGATTGATTGAAGATACGACGAATCACTGCCAACATTACAGTAATATTTCTTATAAACCTTGCACCACTGAGAAAGTCTCGAACATTTTCAAAGAGCTTAATAACTGCAAATCTCCTGGACTAGACGGAGTTCACAACTTCTGGGTAGAGGAGTTTTAGAGTGTTCACAAACTTCTAACAATATCATGCTATTTCTAATGCACAGAAATACCATCATTTCTTACTCAGGAAACCACTTATCCAATACCGAAGGATCAAAATAATACCCAAGATCTGGCCAAGTACCGCCCAATTACTGGTCTATTAACTTTGAAAAAATTGGTAACATTCTGTGTAGCCGACTGTGTCTACCAACTTTGTTCTCCAAACAATATTATAAAGTTTCAAGAGAAATGATGGGCTAACGGTTCCATGGGCTGCAAAGAACAACTTAAAATATACTCAGTTATTTCTAACTGGGCGTACGTACATTAGAAAAGGAATTTTTTACTGCCTTCATTGACTACAAAAAGGCCTTTAATTCAGTACCTCATGAATGGCTTATAGATATATTTAAAATATGTGAAGTGGATGTTAATATAATGATCTTATAAGACTCGTTAAATTTACTTTGATTCTGTCTAGCGATGAACCCACTATCTCAACTACTGCGCTCCACTGACTCAGGTTTTAGCATCAAAAATAACAACACTGTTGCGGTTAAGCTGAATCATCTGCTATATATCGGTGATTTAAAATTAATGGCTTTCACTCAAAACTACATCCTATCCGATACCCGTTTGGTATTCTGAAGTGGTCAAAAACGGATATAGAATGTTTTCAACGGAAAGTTAGAGTACTTCTTACAAAGGCGCAAAAATATCATCTCTGCAGTTCAGTAGAGAGAACAACCTTACCGCAGTATTAAGGGGGTAGAGGACTTATGGACAGATGTGAGCAACTGGATAAACAGATTGCTAATTTAAGAACCCGTTTTCAGGCGCAGGCTGAGGCATTTATTTTACATCGAGCAATTTATGCAGTCGATAATACAACGCCGCTTAAACTGAGGGAAATGACAAATGCCGATATGGATGCCAAGTTTATGAAACCGTTTGTCGTTATTAAATATAAAGAACGACATGACTTAGTAGGAAAAATTATTCACCAATAACCAGCTAACAAACTGGGACTTCTCTAAACCGACCATCTTACTTATTATTAATACGTCCCTGACAGAATGCTTGAAAAAGACAACTCAGCGCTATTCTGGGACCGCACTGTGCTCACAGACCAACCTTCTTTTTCAGGTACCTTCTCCTATCGGAGGTTGGAAATCATCATCGCTATTTTAATTTAATAGGCCGCGCTTCTGATAGACTAACCAATGGCACATAATAGATCCTATCTTATAGGAGTGACTAAAATTCCTAGGTAAACAACACTTATTGATGAGGCGATACCTAACGACAATAATCTCCATGTTAAATACAACGGAAAGACCGCCAAATACAGAGATCTAGAAATACAAATAAGGAGACAATCGAGAATGAAAAGTACCCAGACCCTATTATTTTATCTACTATTAGCGTTATTTCGAAAAACCTCTTAGAGAACATAAAGCTGCTTAATAAACATATGTTTAAGACTATCCAGAAAGCTGTACTCCAGTATACCAAGTCACCTAGGGTTTGATAATACGGAAAGAGCCCCACCAAAACTCAATCCTTAGAGGTAGTGTAAGCAATACAGCTATATCTGGTTTTAAACATAATTAAGGATAGAGGGCCAGTCCCCGCTATGTCCAAAGTAGATAAATTACATAAATAACCGACCATATACACTAAAAAATGCACTTTTATGATAAGAAAAACAATGTTTTAAATCTGATCGTTATAATATTTCCATTAAATTAAATATTGGTGTACCTTTTACCATTGCCTATCCAATAAACAAATTGAGATTAGAGAAGGCCTACAGGGACATATTTCAGAGAACTCTTGTAATGGAACTAAAGAATGTTGTATACTCGGATAACTGTCAAAAAGTGGCATCTACTCGTAATAAAGCCATTAATACAAGCATCGAAGCTTCTATTCCCAAAAATGTACCCTTTATTCCTAAACATAGACAAAAATCGATTTGGTGGAATGACGAATGTGCCACATAGTTACAGGTTAAGAAGAATGCGCTTAAATTATATAGAAACTCATCCATTCTGAATAACTTTATCCAATATAAAACGATAGAAGCTACATTTAAAAAAAGTGTAAACAGAAAGCCAGAAGTACATAGTTTAATGTTTTTCCAGTCTTATTTCTAGCTACTCATCAACTCAAATATAGAAGATGGTGAACAAATGAAACACATACATCAAACATGCTCCCCTTCAATGGCTGAACATTTAAGAACATAGGCATATAAAAAGCCTAGGAGACAAGCGAATAACGAACCCTAGATACTGAGTTCATCAGCAGCAGGTCATAAACACGCACCTATGATCTCAAATACAGATTTTAGTAAAAACTAAAACACATCAAAATATTAATTCTGTTCTCTTTGTGATTATTTTTCTCCTTAACTCGAAAAAAATCAATCGCACGAAAAAATTTACACAAAAGAAATTGTAGAAAATCGCATTTGCAAAAATTTTTGTTCTTGCCATTTTTGTCGAAAAGTTGAAAATGGCAGATATATTAAGCAAAACGGTTCTTCTTTTAATTAAAAAATGACAGCTAACGCAACGGTTGGATTCAATCAAAACTATTGACCATTCCTAAAGGTTAGAACAATAAAATGTGGGGTAGTTCACCATTCAAGATAAAATGACGTACCGACTGGACTAATGATAGAAAAAATATGTTATAAATAAATATAGCAATCTTTTGTATCAATTCTTAACTTTTTATTTGTTTTAACATTTTAGGGCCAGTTCTGCATAGTGTTTATACACAACAGCCAATTGTTTTTCGTAGACTGTGGATATCCAAGATGGACAGCGTTTGTCACAATGCCGAATGCAGTATTTTTCTACTTTTTATTTTCACATTTTTATAAACAGGCATATGGTTCTAGTAAACAATCTAAGAAGTCTGATAAAAACACTATGAAGATTGAAACTAATAATAACACGCCACAAAAAGAAATTAAGGAAACTAAAAGTAAGTGTTGATAAGTAAGGGATGATTGGGTTTAAAAATTTTTTACACACCATTATAATAACTAGAAGAATATTTAAAACACAGTTTTTTTATAATAATCAGCCATACATTATGTATAATATGTACATTTTCTTCTTTTTAACGTGCAATCTCCTCGACAAAAATTGGTCATTATCATAGCTATTCTGATTTTAGATGTACCTGCTCTTAATAGTTCGACTTCTGTGCATCCGTACCATTTCCTCAAGTTACGCAACCATGATATTATTTTCCTCCCTACAACTCCTTTATCCTGATTCTTCCCTTTTATAATCATTTGAAGTACCCTGCATCTTTTACTAGGCATGACATGCCCTAGGTATTGCAATTTTCGTGTTTTAATCTGAACATGGAATTTTTTTCTGCAACATTTTATATGAAAAATTAAAGATCTATATAGAAACTATATATTTACTTGGCATCAAATTCTTAAAGAAGTGTAAGAGGGTAGCTTGATCGATACCATAGTATGTTGACTTTAAATCACACATTACAGCCTCGCAAGATTAAGCCTGTATGATTCAATGGATGAGTTATGAAATGCAAACAAATTATATTAATGAAAAAAATGACTGTGATCAAGTTGCTGGCATGCAAAAATTTGTGCCGTTTTTCCTTTGTGATCTGGGTAAACGTAAAGAGATGGTCAATAGCGGATCTACTTGCTCTGAAACTAGCACGTTCTTGAGCCTCTATAACAATGTATTCTACCTTTATTCCCTTTGTTATGATTTTTTAGTAAACTCTAGAGAGAGTGATAAGCAATGCGATTTTCAGGTAGTTGTCATATATGTCTTTAATTTGCTTTTATGTTTGGCTGATATTAACGATTTTCTTCACTCTTCTGGTATATTTTTCCATTGATATACATATGTTTGATACGTGCTGATTAACGAATTTGAATATTAATATAACCTGGATTTAATGATTTTCGGTATTTTAACGATTGACAAACTTCTTTTACTTGTATTAGTTAATAATTGTAAGTGGCGATGCTATTGTATTAAGTTATATATGAGTATGTTTGTGGTGTTTTTAAATATTCTGTCCTTTTCCCCGTTTGTAGTTTTTTAAAATAGTTGTCCCATTTAAGTAGGCCAATAGGAGAGATTGATAATGTCTTTAATCTTTTCTTGTCGAAGAGAAGGAAGAATTTTTCATCTTTCGGTACTTCTGCTAGCTTTTAGGTAAGTGTTAAGTCTGGAGCAGTTTTTTTTCATAGGTTTCGTTTTTCTTTTTGGCTATTTGACTTCGTACCTCTCTTTGCGTTTGTTTGATATTCATATTTATATTAATTCAATTTTTTAATTTCGGAAATGTGTTGTATTTTTCATGTGTGGTTTTATGTTATTTTCGATTTGTTCATCTTCCTCTTTGCAATTTTGTTGATTGACATTGGTGGATTAATACGTCTTAGAAAGGTTGTCACTCTCTCATAAGAATTTTTGTTTAAAATTATCTTAGCTAAATTTCTTGTTTGAAACATTTTTTCTACGGCGTACAAATTCTTGGCACATTGATAGTTTTCGTTTACCTTCTCTAGGACGGGGATTTTCGAAGGATGTTGGGGGTTTTAAGTGGCTTTTGAGTGGTGAGTGGTTTTTGCATCATTCGTGTGGTCATAAAATTGAGATTCTCACAAAATAATTTAGCTTGTTCGTATGATTTGAGGTTGAGGTTTTAACACTAAATTCATTATTTTATGGTTTGCAAGGTACACAAAATGATATCTTTGATATTATATTGTGATGCCACAATGCAATACTTTAAATCCAATATCAATTTTTTTATTGTTTTTTAGGTTCATCCGTCAAAGCTCACAATGCTTGATTCCATTGCGATAATAGTGCCTACCAAAATCAAACAATTATTACTTTAAGAGCAATACATCGATCTCACAGTTTGCAAATTAGTTTATCCAAACAAAAAATCTATACCTCTTCTAAAAAAGAAAAGTAAAAACTTTATTTTATGTGAAATTGCTGAATGTCAACATGTTAATAAAGATTTTATTTTTCCGATATAAATGCTGACATCCACAAAGGCATCCTAAAACAGAGATAACACGAAAACATAGTTTTTACACGAAATTTAATTAGATTTAGGAATATTTGCTAAAAGTATAGGTCATTGGAAAACAAAATTCTTGTTTAAGAACTGAAATTGGCATACTCTGTGTGATGAGTAACAAACTTCTTTCCATTATTTACTAGTGTAGTATTTTTGTGTTGTGTTTAATTATTTGGCAGTTCTAAGTCTTATTAAACGATACAAATTCAACAGTTGTTTTTATCTCCTTATAATTTATAATGATTTGTAATTACAACACGAAAGAAAGTATATGTTTAGGTTATTGTCGTTTAAATAAAATACTTAATCAACGACAAGTGATAAGTTCGATGAAGATTGATGCGTTATTTAAAGAAATTGGCCGCATTTATTCTCATGTATTATATTGGATATTCTCTATTATCAGAAGAAAAATTCATCGAAATGGAAAGTGAATTGAATAAGATCAATTGGGACCATGGACATATAATACAAATAAACTAACTGCTACCATATAGTTGTGTTCTCCCAGTGCCATAGAGGCAACTGCAGTTGTCAGGAGGATATTTGATTGTTGTTTTTGGAAAATTATAGCGACTAGTTTAAAAAACTTGTCTACTTCTTGTTTATAAAATCCCCCAGCTCTGGCAAAAGATGTACCCATGGGTTTATGGACTGAAATATTCGGGTTCCTTTTAATAAAAGCTTAAAATCTTTCTTTGCCAGCAGACTCATCTTTAAATGGGTAAGGGATATTATTACGAACTGTCAGTTGATAGGCACGACTGCAGGCATATCTTTCTGTGAGCCTATAGACCATGGGTCTATTCTTCCTCTCCTATATATATATATATATATATATATATATATATATATATATATATATATATATATATATATATATATATAGTGAGCATATCATGCGAACAGTTTTCGACTACTAGGATGTAAGAATAGCAGTGGAAGGGTATAAAATTAATAACCTAAGATACGCAGACAACACCTTGACATAAGCTACATCTCAGTAAACAGATAATGCCGAAACTCAAAAACGTAAGTTAATAATACAGGCTAATAATAAATGTAAACATTTCCCGCAGGCTTCCAGGCTAGAACATAAAGAGCTCTCAAAGGACCCACATCGGCATGTCGGCATATTAAGGAAGGAAGATGGAAGTAAAAATAACAACTTCTGCGAAAGTACAGAGATCCTGATGAAAACACACTTCTCCACTTTTAGCACCTCAACAGCACCAAATTTAATGGAAAAATCAATCATACCCTCACCGAACGACTGGCATCTCGCCAAAACAATAATTAATTAGAAACAGAGAAGATGAAACATATTGTGATTCGCCTCTTTTAAGTCACGAGGGCCTGACGACATATATCTAGCCCTACTACGGAAGAGACTGAATATCTCCTTGTGCAGTACCTTGTGGGAAAATTCAGAGCATCTTTAAATCTGAGATATATTCCTAAAAAGTGGAGAGAGGTTGGTGTGGTCTTCATACCAAAACCAGGTAGGATGGACTACACTCTACCAAAGGTTTTCCTATCAATTAGCCTAACATTGTTTTTCTTTAAAACGGTGAAAAGTCTATGCACGAGGTACATAAGGGATGCAGTTCTGGTTCATAACACACTTGACCTGAATCAGCACGCATATACTTTGAGTTAGAAGTATATATACATGAATTAGAAGATTTATATACATGAATTAGAAGATTGCTGGATAATAAAGAATCCACTCTAGTTATATTCACAAACAGTGAGGGGAAGTTTGATAAAACCACATTCCCAATCATCATCTGATAGAGCTCAATATCAAGAATGTTCTCCATGCCGTAAGCTAATAGATATTCTGTATGATCTCCAATATAGCAATAAGCATAAATGGGGTGCTATAACCACTCCTCTGAAACGTAGTTCTAGACACACTGGTTGACCAACTCAGCAGTGTTAGGTTCTACACAATAGCCTATACTAATACTTTGTGAGAGATTACAAGTGGTTCTTCGACTAATAGAAGCAGGGTGCAAGGAACACCGTATAAATCCTAAGAAGACAGAGATTATCCTCTTCAACAAAAAAAGAAGAATCACGGGCTTAGTACTTCCAAGGATGCTAAACTACAGTCTAAACTTTTCTGGCGAGGTGAAATACCTTGTCTACACTACTATTATTAGGCTAATGCTTACAAAACTATTGTTTGGTTACCAAAAGTGCTACAGGCAACAGTAGATACAAAATTAAACGAAATTCAGGGATGTCTTGCATAAAGATTGTTTGTGCCATAAAAACAACACCAAGTGCTGTAATGAAATGAATCACTGGCATCATGCCTCTAGATATATGTATATTATATCAAAGAGGAGGCGTTGGTGATAATGATGCGGCTACGCTCAGCTGGTGCAAACTTTGATGTAGGAATGGAACAATTGAGAACTCGTTTCTGGCGGCGAGAGCTGGGTACGCTAGCCCTGCTACAGGCAGGCTACAACTTCATTAAACTAAAGTTTGTCTTTGAAAAACCCTATAACATCGAAACAAGACAGTATAGGGAGACAAACATGGCAAATGAGTATTATATATACACCGATGGCTCCAAAATGGAAGAAGGCTCAGGAAGACGGCTAGTTCAGCTAGAACTGGCTGGTATCTCCATAGTCGCAGAAAAGATAACCCAAAATGGTATAACCGGGAAAACTATAATAATCTTCACAGATAGCAGACAAGCGCTACTAACCTTGAATAGAACACGTGACATATCAGGGTTAGTAATGGAGTGTCACGAGTTAGAACCTCAAGCTTCGGATAGTAATATCAAGCATCTATTTGCTTTATTTTTCTAGGGGCCTAGGTATAAATGTCGATCTAAGCTAGTCTTCCGGAAAGATTCCAGTGGTATATATTTTGTTAAATAGTAGTGTTAAATACTGAAGATTTTCTTCATTGATAAGTTTTATCATCTCTACATATATCTCATCCGGACCTCAGGCCTTTCGTGGCTTTGCCGTATTGATTGTTTTTGTAACTTCCGATGTTAATATATCAAGTATTGTGCCTTCTACTATATTCATTCGTGGTTCTGTTCTCTCGTCATCAAACAGATCTTTGATGTATTTTCCCTATATATTTCCTACATTTTCTGGGCTAGATACTATTTGGTTGTTATCATCTACTAGAGTTGCAGTAAATTGTTTCTTCATATTTGTGACTTCCTTTTTGTATGCATTAAAGTAGTCATGTTTTTTTAGTAACTCCCTCAGTTCCCCACATCTGCTGTTCATTCATTCTTACTTGGCTTTCCTGATTTTGTTACGGATGGTTCTCTGGATTTCTTTATATTTTACTTCATTGCGGTTTTTGTAAGATCTTCTTACGTTCATTAATTCTAAGATTTCTTCTGTTATTCATGTATTCTTCGTTTTTTTTTGTGTAGTATCTCACAAAACTCAAAATAGAGTTGACTGGTCAATAACAGTCAATCAAATATCATAATTTCACCCTATGCTTGCGTAGGATAGCGGACTGAGGAGAAGGATATATAATGACATAAAATTAAGAAAATGGTTAAAATAAAAACAAGATTTATATAATTTCGTAAACTTTGATTTAATTTTCACCTCGCATATAAAGTATAATACAACTTCCAATTATATATAAAACATATATTGGAACATACAAACATTCTATTTTTATAAATTTTTAAAACAATAAATATGCATATTCGAATGGTAACAGATACATACAGGATGTAAACAATATTTATGTTGCAATAAAGAATTTAATGCATATATCTAACAAGAGCGTTCTGCAAAACTTAATGCTCTTTCTAAAAGTAATCCTGTACATTGGTGTTCAAAAATTTTACCCTGGATGTAGATTACAAGTTTCGGTTTGGCAGATTACTATATAGAACTGTATACAATTCAACTTTCTAACAATGTAACAAATATTTTTACAGTTCATTGAATTTTATTATATCTAAAAAATATTAAACTTTTAGAAATTATCACTTAACAAAAGTTAATAGTTATGTCTTATATACATTATTACATAAACATTATAAACAATTTTTAACATTTCGTAAAGTCTCTAAAATTTATTTAAATAAACTACTGCAAGATTGGTCCCTCTAGACAGGTACTAAAAACAACATTTTTTAATGTATTGTTTTGTTTGCAATAACGGAAAAAAGAATAAAAGTCAAAGTATTGTGCTTTATTAACAAATTTCTATTAAAATAATTCGTAACACTGTTCATTTGACAAGCTGTCAGAAACGTTTAATAAGGTTTATAAATATTCGAGCTCCTAAAAAGAAATAATTTCTGAAGGGAAATTAAAATGTTTAAAGCATTTTTATGTATCAGGAAATAGGTACAAAGACTGAACGAGAGAAATGGCGAAATGAATCTGCAAGTAATGGGAAGCCTTGTTCTACAAGAAACATTGAAGCAATTAACTCAGCATAGAAATAGTGTGACGCATTTAGAAAATCTTAAAAAGGTGTTATGAATGAGCTTCATCAAGAATTAAACCACGAAATAATTATTAAATTCGAACGTGGAAAAGGAGAACATAATACGGAAGGATAGATAAATTATACAGAAAAAAAATGTATTAGAAAACTTTTCATATGAAAATCAGTGTATTTTTTCAATTCCAATATATTTTGACAACAATAATAGAAACTCATTATTTTCGTCCATTGGATTAATCCACTATACAGTTTCCAGCTACGGAAATTCTAAAACTTTGATTTTTAAAAAGTTT